CTCGGAAAATATAACAGAAGTTAATAGATAATATAATTTGATATGCAAACAAAATTATTGCCAACTAATGGGTTTTTAAAGCTCACATTGTAAATGAGCGGTTTGTTAGATATGAGTGACCAACCACGCCTGACCAAATTAAGTTTATATTTGCAAATGTTTCTCATCCCACATCCATTTTACCACATTAATTCCCTCTCCATATTGAGCACAATGCAGCTTCATGTGATTTTTTTAAGTTAACATTCTTTAAAAAAAAATTCTCTAAGCAAAAAGTTGCAGTTTAATGATACTCTTTTGAAATACTGAATACCTCATTCTCTTTATTTATTTTTTCAAATCCTCACCCGAGGATATGCTTTATTGATTTTTAGAGGAAGAGATAGATGTGAGAGAAACATAGATGTGAGAGAGAAACAGTGATCAGTCGCCTCCCATATGCACCCAGATTGGGGGTGGGGTGGGGATTGAAGTTGCAACCTTTCAGTGTATGGGACGATGCTCCAACCAACTGAGCCAACGGCCGGGGCCACCTCACCCTTTTTAATTAAACTTACACAAGTAAGTGTACTGAACACGAGAGAAGGACTTTAAAAACTCTTTCCAGTTCCCATCACATCTCTTGCTTACAAGTAAATACAAGGAGTGTCACAATGGTGCTACTCAGCACAGTCCTCAGTCCACTTGGCTGAGTGGGAACCAGCAACAACACAACAATCTAACAGATACACTCCTTCCGCGCAAGTTAACGCTGGTTTTCTTGTGTCTTTGCAGCTCTCTGGCACCTATCAAATGCACACCCCTTTGAATAACTAGAATGAAAGATGTCTTGTAAGTTAAAAAATCACTGGCTGCTACCCAAGCAATGAATTCCTTGCTGTGTGCAAAGTCAGCATTTTAGTGGGGGAATTAACAAGCTTAACATTCTGAGGACTTTCTAATCGTCTAATTGTCTAAAAGGATGAGCTCCCCACGCACCTCACCTTCCCTACCCCCTCCCAGCGCCACCCCGCATCCGCCCTTACCAGTTCACTCTTTCAGCCAAAGCTTCATGACCAGCTGAGGACTCTGATGATGTCATTATTCAAATATATACTGACCACTCTACAATTTCTCTATCCTTAGTGGTATTACTCTGCTACATAGGCATTTAACGAGTTTTTAAAAATAAGCTCAAAGCACGTGAACAGGCAGGCTAGAATAAAACCTTTTGCTGAGTCAGCACTAAAAACCCTCAATGTCTGAAAGGCCAAATCTTTGGAGAGGTGGGTTTTTGTCATCGTTGTTTTGGCAGCTCACTAAACTGCTCAGAAGAAACCAAAAATAAGTAAATAAATATAAATAGCTAAATGATACGTTTAACTATCCAGAATTTCTTTTTTAAAAAAAGGAGAGCAACTTAAAATGTTTTGACTTGGCAGACTTTGAAGTCATCCAAGAAAGAAATTTTCAGACCTAGATGATCAAATAACAGTCTTGTGGATTTTTCTAATTTTGTACGTGTTAGGCTACAATACTTTACACGAAATATAAAATCAGCTGCCATTATTTTAGGCGAAGATATTGAAACCACAAATGGAAGGTGCATTGGGGGGAAGTCCCTTCAATCGGGGTGTATGTGCATTTGGGCCAATCATGCAGACCCAGCTCACAGCCCAGAGGCCTGGGGATGCTGAGACCTTTGGCCCCACATTAGATCGACTTCATCAACTTTCCCTTCTCTGAAAACTGATCATCCAGGAAACTCTACAAACCACACAGTTCGATTAATTTTGTTTTTGAACATTTCAGTCCTTTCTGCTCCTCCATGTCTTTATCAACAACAACAATATATATATATTCCTTACTCAAGAAGAAATGGGCTGTTATGGGTCAAATTGTACCCATCTGCCCCAATTCACATGTTCAAGTTCTGGGCACCAGTACCTGAGAATGTGACTTCATTTGAAGTGGAGTCTTTGCAGATATAATTACTTAAGATGACATCATACTTGCATAGGGTGGGCCCCTCGTTCAATATGACCGGTGTCCTTATAAAAGGTGGAAATATGGGCACAGACAACATACCAGCAGGGCACCATGTGAATATCAGGCTGATGCTTCTTCAAGCCAAGGAACGCCAAAAGATGCCAGCAACACGGACATTAGGTGAGGGCCTGGGGACAGCCCTCAGAAGGAGCCAGCCCTGCTGACACCTTGACCTGGCCTTCTAGCCGCCAGAAGGGGAAGACAATGAATTCCTGCTGTTCCTCAGCTGTGACTTTGCTACGGCCACCTTAGCAAACCAATGAGGAGCTAATGTCACTGGACTCCGCACTTCAATTAACAACACAGCACCGTTCTAACAAACGTCCGGAAGGGTACACTGGGAGTCAGGGGCAGGGGTCTACGCGCCGCAACACTGAGCATTTTATTTGGACGAGAACGAAGTGTGGGGGCAGCGTTTTCAGATACCTCATTTCCCCTCCCCCGCACAACTTCTGGCCACCTGCAGCTCAGCTCAGAGCGCTCCTTGCCAAGCACACCTGCGAGTACTAGCAATAACCACCCATCTAGTATAATCACCATCCTCAACATGCTAAGTACCATCTCCATGAAAGCCAAGCACTTCCCAGGCGCCCTGCACAGCAATCCTGCAAGAAGCTGACAGGTGATAGCCTGTGTCACAGGGACCCAGCCACGTAATGTCAGGTCGGCCTTTCTGGTCCCTGCTTAGTGACTCACTGTGCCCCACTTCCCTACGTCACGTCCACATGCGGCTCTGTGGCTCAGAACAGAGCTGAAGATCACCCGTCATTAGAAGCAACAGAAATATCGTACAATCATCCAGTATTCAGCACCGTTAGCTCTCAGATGAAGGGCTTACAGTCCCCAGGAAAGAGAAAGGGACTTGCCCTCACAGAGTTAAGACATGGACGAGGCAGGCTAGAATCTGATCTGTCATCTCACGCCACATCCAGTGACCTTTATGGAGGTGAAATCCTAGCACCCGCGTGGGTAAATACGGGTGCTTTTTTCTTCCCTCAGTCAACTAGAAGACAAGGAACTGGAGGTGATGGCACAATTTCTGAAGTATTTGTTTGGAAATAATTTTCATTACCAAAGCTCTGGTTCATCTGCATCTTTATGCGTATGTTAAAAAAAAGGAAAAAAAAAAAAATCAAAAGAAGTCATTAAGCTCAGGCCAGTTCTGAAAGCCTCTCTCGCCTGAGTGTGCATTCCTCCCGCAACCCCCAGAGCGCTGCTGTAATCCTTCAAATTATTAAATAATTACTGCGCTTCCCTTGGGGTCACACTTGGCAACAAAATACTGGCCTAAATGAACCAATGATATGACCCAGTGAATAACACTTAATGTTCTTAACTTCCTAGAAGCAAGAGGATATGAAATGCTTCCGAGGTACCGAGTGGGGAGTAAAGGAAGGAGCATTCTGTGGGGTCTGCAGGGTAGGGGGAGTAGAGGGACAAAGGAACAAGAGAATCTGGGAAATATTCCAGCAACCGGTGTTATCTCCTCCCCCACCAACCTCGGAGGTCGGCAATTCTCCACTCCAGTCACAGTTCCCGTCCAGATTTCAGGAGTGGCTACAGCCACAAGAAGAAAACCAAGCATATGGCTCTGTCCTTCTGGACATGTCTACAATGTTGGCTGGGTTGCTTTGGAAAATCCCATTTTATCTCCCTACAGCTCTATGACCTCAAGTTGTCATTTCCAATAAAGTACGTTTCCACTGATTTTTCTGAACATAGACAAAAGCTGCTACAGCCTTCCCCCCCCACCCAAATCTTTCAAACCAACTGTAGTTGCTATGTCGGGTTATTTGTTTCTAAGGCAACAGCGTATATCTAAGTACTAATGGCCTGTCCTTTTGCCAGGCAACAAACAGCCTTGTGATGCAACTGCACCTGTCTCGGCTACGCGTTACTATGGAGACGCTCCAGTTGCTATGGATACCATCACGCTAATCGCCTAGCAAAGGCAGACATACAGCAGTCTTCGCGGAGAGCCCAGCTGTTCCTTCCCGTCTCTGGCTGAAGACGGATTGTCTCGGGCCTGTGATGGAACGCTTCTCAACTGAGACGCACAAGAACTTCATCAACGCCCTTCCGAGGATCCCTGTGTGCTCCTTTCTGCAGAGCACGAGACAGAAGAAAGGATCTGCAAAGCGGCGACTCTAAAACTACTCAAATCTGTGCATTCACGCCCTTTCTCACTGACATAAACTTGCAGCCCAAGGAAAATCTCTCTTCGCTGGGTGGTTACAACAGAAACATTTCTAGCCGTTAAAAATCATTCCTTTTTAGGATATTCAAAGCCAAGCACTATGTAAGATAAAACCAATTTTAAAATTTGGTTCTGTTCGACGTGGCTATTTTTTTTGTATCTAACACTAATAACACTTTTTTAAACAGTGATGAGTGACAACCCCCCCCCCATGACATATCTTTGTAAAAATGACCTCCTTGTCTCCAAACAAACGGGCGTGTGGAGGGGAATAAAAGTTGCCTTTGTTCCCTGCTGCTCTCCTTGCAGAGGCAAACACCACGTAACCACAACAAAATGGTCACTCGGAGCACTGTCCTCATGGAGACCAGAATGACAACAATCGGGGGAGCCCTTCGGTGAACACCTGTAGGCACTGCCCGTCAGTCGGCAGGAAGACAGAATCGCCTGCTTGACTCCTTCTACACTTGTACTCCAGCAAACTGCGACACACTGAGATGCCAGAACCGTCAGCTTCTCCCTGTAAATGTTCCCACCCGGGAAGACGCCACCCCACCTGCCGCGAGGCTTCGGAAACTCCTTCCAGGACAGCGAACGCGGTAAGGTTTGCAAGGAACACAACCGTGGCGATGCCTCCGATTAGACCTTCCTCCTTTCTCATTCACCTTGTTTAAAAACCATCCAGTCTATTACATTAGTTTCAGCGCTGGTCTCTGCCAAAACTAAGGCAACTTCGGTAGACATAAAAAAAAAAAAGAAAGTCTGAATTGCTTACCTTTGATATGCCTGAGGAGAGGCGGGAGGTGTACTGAACACGTGTGGGTGTGGGTGATAAGGTGTCTTTTTCAAAGCCTGAATTAGATTTTGTCTATACTCCGGGTCTATGCACCACAATGACCCCTTCCCAATACTCTGCAAAGAAAATAAAAATACAAAAGTCATTAGTTCAGAAAATGTTATTTTTCATGAAGCAGATATTAGTCATTATCATAGTTACATATCTTTAAAAGTCTCCCACTTATTTGTTAACTGTTTGCCAGCCTTCAATACCGAATACTATACTCTGACAACAGAACCTCATAAAATGCACTTCCAGTTTAACTCGTCTGAAGACAGAATGAACACGTTATGACCAGGGGAGGCTGGAATACGAATATTGTCATTTTCATGACCTAACAGTTTTAAGTGTCAGATTTCCAACACGGAAAGAAAATGCAGGCTAAGACACCCTCTGACTCTGAACTCCATTGCCGCTTCAAAAACACCAGAGTTGCTTTTTTCTTTAAACGCTGTCACTTCGGTACCACTTCACAAAACCAGAAAAGCAATCCGCTTTCTTTTCCTACTAACTCGCAAAAGTATGACGTTTAAGCCTCAAATGAATTCTGTAATTCTTCCCGGACACACAACCTGAACCAGCCTGTATTTATCTCAGCACTGCTCCCGGGCGAAAGGGGTTGAACCTTTGGAAGTAAAACTTTAAAATGCAAATTTTATAAAGCTTGTTACAAGGAAGGAGAAAGGCTTGCTGAGGCCCACTTTCTGTGGGCGGCGGCTTCTGGTCTGTGGGCAGCATTTTATTTTTAAAAATAATAATGATAAGTACTTCTCCCGAGGCCACTGGAACTGGCTGCCGGCCACGGGCAGTTGCTACTCCGGCTGCTTTCAAGTGACCGAATGTACCCAAGCTGTTTGATAAGGTCACTTGTAAATATTTACTGATTTGGAGAGAAAAGGAGTCAAATTACATAAACCCATGCCCACCCCAGTGTTTCCAGCCAACAGACGCTCTTATTTTCAGAACTATTGTATCCCAGGAAGATTTAGAAAGCAAACAGGAAAATCGCTTAACTAGTATTGGGGCTGGGGAGCCCAGAAAAATCTCTTAGAAAAATAAGTGAGTCCTAAACTCTTTGAAGAAACTTTAGCAAGTCTGTACTTCAGTCATTTACTTACAAACTTATTCACAGAACGCATTGAAATTCTTTACCAGCAACAACGCCAGCGAGCAGTGTGACTGCAATGAGCTCTTTCTGGTGCACTGAGAACAGAAAACTGCTCAAAGCCAAGGTCAGAGGCTGGAGCCCCCGTCACCCCCGTCTCAGCCCTGACCCCAAACACACCCTAGTCAGGTCAAAGTTCCCAGCTGAATTATTCCGCTGTTTAAAGATACAAAAGCTGTCAACTCTGGAGAATTCAATGTCCTTATGTGGTCATTGCTTTCGTCTGTCATTTTCAAGCCCAGGGTCGTTCAGGGCACTGAGGATACTTTCTGAGTTAAGCCGTCAGGGCCCCAAATGATGTACGTGGACCCTCTGTTCTTTTCTTTGGAAAAGGCACACTTTTTAGAAGAAAGCAGAAGCTCAGGGGTGGAGTGGGGGAGACTGAGACCATAACTACTGAATTTGGACAATATGAAACAAAGCACAAAAGCGCACCATGGCCAGTAGTCCTGCTCAGACCGCATCCAAGCTGCCGGGAGAGCCCAGTGGGACCTGCCTCTCAGATCCACTGGAACACAAGGCCCTGGAGGGCCCGGCCCACAGGCAACCCCAACATTCCTGCAAAGAGATTAGCTCAGCCCTGGGAACTAGTGGCTTTTGTTTTCTTCAAGGTGCTTTCAGGGTAGGGCCGTTTAATCTTACAGGGAATAAAAACACAACAAAGCAAGGAAAGACAATGGACCCTCTTAGGGAGGTAACAATAGGCCAAGAATGTGGTTTCTTCTAATCCGGACCTAAGTAGCTTGTTTATTATACCACAATACTATTTACACACTAAATGGAAAACCCACGGGGTGGGGGCGGGGGTGTCAGAGGCAGGGGATCCAGGTGTGAGAAGCGGGCGGAGTTACAGTCGAAACAAACGTTCTGGAGCTCCGCATTTCCTGTGTGGCCCTGGGCAAATCGTGGTCCCACAGAAAGTCTGGGCTTCCTCCCTAGAGACTGGAGCCAGGGCCGGCGGCCGCATGCCGTGAAACACCGGGCACAGGGGCAGCACCTGCCGGTCCTCAACAAGTGGTGCCGATGTCACGAACCTCCTTTCTGACAGAAGGGAAGAGCGGAGCTGGCTGTGCGATGCCTTTCATTAAGTCAAATCTGATTTCCTCCAAATTCCAACAGTGGCAGTGGGCAGGGCCCCCAGCAAGCTGCGGGCCGGAGGGGATAAGCCTACTCGTGCGTACTGTTTAGCAAATTCACTTTGAGGAGCTGTTCTACTCAGATCTCCCCATGATTCCATCAGCACCCCATCTGCCTTCTATGCACCCCTCCTCCATGTCTTCTATACTGTAACTTCTCCCTTGCTCAGGAAGCCAACACTGGCTCACAGGAACCTAGCTGCTACACAGTTTCTTCTGCCCCCTCTCTGCACAGTGGTCACCAAGGTGAGGTTTAGGTGCACTTGGTCAGGACGTCATCAGTTCCTTCATTCACTGCAGCCACCTGCCTGGGCTTTGGATCCGAATGGTTCCTACCTTGGTCTGGCCTGCACTTTATAGTGAAAGGGACCTGGAAATGCTGATCGGTGTTTACAGACCAAGACACTGCTTTCAGTGTCACAGAATTTCCAAACAGCAAAAAATAAACAAAAGCAGCATCTTCAGGACACACCCATGGCATCGCTGTCAATCTCGTTGATTCCTCCAATAAGGGGACAGGGGAGAGCGCTGAGGAGCTTGGAAGCAGGAAAGAGGTGGGCTCTTGGTCTCATTTGCAAGCTATTCGCCTTGGTTTCCCGTAACGGTTCAGAATAGTAAGAAGGTTGACTTGCAAACTTTTCAAAAGGAAATATGCAGGCGAGAAGGCTCAAGTTTCTCTGGCCAGTAAAACTCACATTTAACGGAGAGAAGGGTGCAATCTTATTCTAGTCGCGCAACATGCTCGAGAGTAGGGCCTTCAGGAATAACTGCATCTTATCTAAACAACTTTTTTACTGTGATAACTGTGAGGGCCACGGTTCAGTAAATATTAAGGAATTCAAAATTATGAGGGAAGAAAGATCTTCCTTCACAGATACATTTCATGTTAAATATACATTTTTTTCTACACACACATATATATAATTTGAGAAAACTAATAGAAAAATGAGTGAAGAGACATAAAGGAGGTCAATCTTTTTTTTTTTTAATTAAAAAGCACCTGGGGAATAACAGACAACCAACCCCTGTTAGCAATAAAAACATCAGTGCACAAGAGGAAAAAGCACACAAGAAGAGCCTATATTGTGGAAGAACTGATTAGTGAGAAAGGTTTTTAAAAAAGAGAGATAAGAATAACAACTAAATTAAATCCCGTATCTAACTTCTACAGTAACATTTATTTTCCTGGGCGCTCTAGATCCGGGGGCGTCTCCTGCGGCTGGTGAACCGCCCCCTCCCACCGGTGCAGCAGCACCTGGCGGTCTGCCCGCGTGTCTTCGTTTGGGGGTGTCTTCACCAGGTTGTGAGTTCTGAGCATAAGCACCGTTCACAAACTGCGGGCTACGACACATGAATGGGCCATGGAATCAATGGAATGGGTCGCCTGGCAGCACTGTTTTAATGCAACGGAACAGACCCCAACAGGACAGAGTAGGATAGAAAATATCTGGAGCAAGTGACATTTTGTGAAATGTGTGTGTGTGTATACACGTATACAGGTGCGTACGGGATCACAAGGCAGCATCTATTTCTTACTAGAAATTGGGGACCCAAGAGTGTGGTCAACACTAATCCAGCACAATGGTTTCCATGTTCTCCCCCTTCTTGTCACTGGTGGGCAGTGAGGCCCACTTCCTGCACCCACGGAGGACTCCCTCACCACGCCCAACAGGACGCCCGATGCAGGCAGGGCTGTGCTTGGGGAGCGGTAACGAGGCAGGACATCACATGGAGCAGGGAGCTGGTTACATGTTCTTGGCGAATTGACATGATCCCTTTGGAAGTTTCTGATACACCATTTCTGAGGGTGTTTCCGACGCCAACCACTCTCGTCCAGCCCCACATCCACGTGGTGCCCATGACAAGCCAGGTGCCATGGGGTATAACTGGTGAATACAAACAGAACAGAAAGGGCCTGCTCTCCTGAAGAGTAGTTTCTAGAAGTGGAAGAAGAGAGTAACAGACAGAAAGAAAGAAACAAGGCAGACCATGGCAGGCTGCAATGCCTTCTGGGAAGAAAATAAAGAGAGTGCAGAGTTAGGAGACGGGCACCGTGAGGCCTCAGTCCGGGCCGCAGTGACCAGGGACAGGAGTGGAGGTGGAGGATGCATTCTGCAGAACCCACCGGACCCGCTGATGGATGAGAAACGGCAGGAAAAGAAAAAGAAAAAACCAACTCTTTGGTCTGATCAAAGGTTGCGAGAAGGGGGAAATTCAGTGCTCCCTGGAACATACAACCTCCGAGATGTTCGTCGGTCAAGAACGACTGATTCAGGAACTTGAAAGAACCTGCTGGACACGCCGCCTCTCCCCTCTGCTGAGCCCTCGGCGACCCCAACCTTTCCAGGGAACGCTCGAAGGTGGATCGGTTCTGCAGCGGGAGCTGATGAGCTTTTTCTTAAAGGGTCCGAGTACATATGTTAGATTTCGTAGGCCATGTGATCTCCGTCAAACCACTAAGCTCTGCATTGTAGCATAAAAGCAACCACAGACACAAACGAACAGACGAGGCTGTTATGCACAAAGCTACGGTCCAGCCTTCAGCGCCCTGCCCTACAGCTTCCACGCCTGAACCCAGGGCTCAGACTCAGAGCGCCTGTAGTTTGGGGGACCTAAAACCAGGTAAGGAGTCTTCAGGGGCTAGGAGAGTTGGGCTAAGTCTTGTGGGATTAGGAAGCCAATGATGACCTATGTCAAGAGCTACAAGGCAGGAAAGGGGGACACCTGGGCGTTGGGGGGAAGCAGGAGGTACAGACACAGACTGGAATAAGTG